TTTGATCATTTTTTAAAAAAATAAAAAAACAAAAACATAAAAACCAAAAAAAATAAATAAAAATAAAAAAAATTTTGCCTCTGATTAGAGGAGCCTTTTATTTTCTAAAAGTCGTTGAGCCTCTAATTAAAGAAGCCATTTATTTTCCAAAAAGTCTTTGAGCCTCTGATTAGAGGAGTTTTGTTTATTTTTCAAAAGTATTTGAGCCTCTGATTAGAGAAGTTTTGTTTATGTTATTCAAAGTCGTTAAACCTCTGCTTAGAGGAGTTTTGATTAAATTTTAATGAAAAAAAACAAAAAAAAGGGGTTGAGTGGAGCCTTAAATGGGTGTCTACGTCTTTGCGCAATTTCTGTTTCACAGAAAATGTGCAAAGAGGGACAACTATAGACATCCAATTTGGTCCAGGGATCAATTGAGCCTGGTCCAAATGGGTAGGCTCGTTTTATTTTTTTTATTCTGGTATTTTTATTTTTTGTATCTTAGTTACTTAATATTTATTATTACTATCTATTAATATATATATATATTATTTTCATTTTTATTATTTATCTGTTGATATACATATTATTATTTATCTATTATTATTATTATTATTATTATTATTATTATTATTATTATCTATTAATAGTTTTATTTATCTAATTTTTTTTTGTTATCTATTAATATATTTATCTTTTTATTTTGATTAATTTTTTGTTAAGATTAGGATAAAAATTTGGAATGAATTTGACTGTGATTTAGAAATTGTTTGAGTTGAGATTGGATTCAAAGATTGAATCCAAATCCCAAAAAGAGTTTAGATTGATCAGAAACTCTTCTGATCAATCCCTATAAATAAGTGCTGGAAGAACAGAAGAAAAGACACAGAAAAAAAGTAGACACAGAGAAGAAACAGAAGCTAAAAAAGGGTTTTGGTTTGTTAAAATCCCGAGCTGAGTCTCCGAGCTGTTTTTCTTCCTCAAGTCGAGCCGAGCCGTTCGCAGGTTTTTTTTTTTTTCATCTTTTTATTATTATTATATTAAGATTGTTTAATATTTTTTTTATTTTCATTTTTTTATTTTTTTTTATTTTTTTATTTTATTTTTTTATTATTTTAGGATTGTTTAATATTTTTTTATTTTTTTTATTTTTTTTTTTATTTTTTATTTTTATTTATTTTATTTTCTTTAAATAAAGTAAAAGAAAAAATATTTTTCCTTAAAAACAAATTTTCAAAAAAAAAGGTTTTGAGAAAAAGTTGAAAGTATCAGTTTTCCTTAAAATTAAAGTTTACAAAAAAAGTTTTTTTTTTGGAGGAAAAGTTGAAAGTATCAATTTTTCTCGAAATTAAAGTTTTCAAAAAATATTTTTGGAAAAAAATTGAAAGTATCAATTTTCCTTAAAAATAAATTTTAAAAAAAGTTTTTTTTTTAGGAAAAGTTGAAAGTATCAATTTTTCTCAAAATTAAAAGTTTCCAAAAAATATTTTTGGGGAAAAAGTTGAAATTATCAATTTTTCTTAAAAATAAATTTTCAAAAAAAAAAGGATTTTGAGGAAAAGTTGATAAAAGTTGAAAGTATCAATTTTCCTTGAAAATAAGCTTTCCACAAAAAATATTTTTGAAGAAAAGTTGAAAGTATCAATTTTCCTTGAAAATAAGCTTTCCACAAAAAAATATTTTTGGGGGAAAAGTTAAAAATATCAATTTTTTCTGCATAAAAACAATCATTTTTTTTATGTTAAATAATCCGACGATGGAGCCTCTGCAAGTGAAACGGTAGTTTTCTTGCATACTCTTGAGGTGAGGAATTTTTTCAATTTTTTGCTAAAAGTATTAGAGTCAATTGAGAATAATTTTCAATAGTTAATTACTTGATAAAATTTTAAGGCTTATTAGATAACACAAAATTATGCTGGTACCATCTTTTGATGGGCGTTGTGAGGGTGCTATAATCTTCTTCACACGTAACCGAACTCTCGAACTTTGTTCTGGTTAGTAGATCCGAACCTATTCTTTTAGGAACCCTTAAACTTAGTTGTTCCCTGAAAGAACAGATTCTTTAGGTGGTCAATCACACCGAGAGAAAAAAAATTGGTAGCGACTCCTAAAAGTCAATATCTAATGATAGATCTTCGAATCTAGACGTTATGACAAGGTGATCAAATTTTAAATTTTAATCACTAAAATTAAAACTCTAACACCAAAAAATTATGCTAACAGTTAGGAAGATTCAATATATGGAGTTGATAATGCATAGGATTAGTCTGAATATTAGGCGTGATGTTAAAGACAATGACTAAGTTCAAAGAAACTATACTGAAGTTACCACCTTTCATTTAATTTCTAGATTCAATATTTTATCTACTACCCCAAAAGATGAAGATAAGACAGAATTTGCCAAGACAAAACCAGAAAGAAAGAACTGAGAAAGATCGTTAATGCGGACGTGAGCTAAATTGACAATAATGTATATGCTATTAGTGGACTTTCATATACCATAATACTTGTTTAATTCTTTACAGTATTTTTCCTTGAATAAGACAGTAATGGCTTACTTGCTCAACTCTCCAGTTGCATAATTAGCGACATGTTTCATTTAATTAACCAAGCTTGTCATCATCTTTTCATGCACTTTTTGTAAAATAAGGGCGAAACGACGCTACAAACGTACGCAGCTGCTGAGCTCAAATTAGGTCTCCGATCTTTGCCCCCTACCTCAAGTTACCAACATTTGTCAACTCTCTTAATGCTGCCTTCTTTATTTTTATTTGGTAGCAAATTAACCATTTCCTTTTCAGCACCCAAGGAATCCACATGACCCCCTTCTACTTCACTACCCAGAAATTTACATCATATTCATATTAGTTTGGAATTTTGTTGTTTCCTTGGCAAAAAGTGCCACAAATTGGAGTCAACACATAATAAGTCTTTCATTTTATTTTTCTTTCTGATTTTTCTTCTCTGGATACAGTAGGTTACTAACCTAGAGACTATGCATACTCGATTTCGATGGAAAATGCCTGTAGATTGCATCACCTTGTTTGAGTAGTAGTCATGAACTCATTATTTCGAGTAACTAGAAAGTAAGACTCTTTCAGACCTTTATTCCTCTTTTTCTTTTGATCAAAGAAAAAAAACCAAACAACCATATGATGAATTCTCATTAGTGGGTGGATTAATGTTTTGGAAAAAAAAATCACTCATCAATACTTTAATAATATTAATTAAAAAATATATAATCATGTAATCTAATAATATCTCTATTTTTTTTAGTTTTGCAAATAGAATGGATTAAAAATATGAGTGAAACTCAATTCTAAGTCTAGCAAACTAGATTCTACGGGTTTCAGTGTTCTGCAATTTCATATTCATGTCACCTAATTGATGAAAAATCTAATATCCTAAAACTATGTAGAGTTTACTTTGGATAAATTACATGACTAGTTATTAAAGTTTTTGTGATTTTTTTTTTATTTTCATTTCTCAATTATAAAAAAAAAAAAAAATAACGATTTTGTCACAAAAATCTCAGAAATTTAATTTTTTTTTTGTCACACATGTAATTCAGAATAATTTTTATAGTTAAAATTTATTTTTTCTCAAAAATATAATTGATATTTATCAAAAAAATGATTTTTTTTTTTTAAAAAATTATTTTTCTCAATTTTTCTTTTTTATTATTTTCTTTTTTTAAAATCTATTTTATAAAAGTTCATATTCATAATTCCATATAACAAAAAATCGATATTATTTTTTTTTATAAAATTTGTGAGGTTATTTGAATATCATCTAAAGATTTTTTCAATATAAGCAACAAAAATAATAAATCAATTGAAACTCGTTACTTAATCCAATTAATATTTATCAACATATTTAAACAGATGATATTTAGTTAGTTTGATATTCAAATCGTAACATCTAGGATCTTTCTCCATTTCCTAACATTAGCCTTCATTATAATAGTAATAGTAGTACTATTACTAATAATAATAATAATAATAATAATAATAATAATAATAATTTTACAAAGGATGGTAATCAAATCTCTATAATATCATGTCGACAATGAAACAATGGTAATGACATTTAAAATATTAATAAATTTGACTAAATTATGCATTTTTAAAAGTTACGTTGCTAAAATAAAATCTCCCAAAAAATTGACTTAAACATGTAATTTACTCTTTTTTACTATTAATTGTTTAAAAAATTATATAATCAAGTCAATACTGCAAAAATTGTAAATATCATCGGATGAATGTCATATGACAGAATCACGTCAATCAATCGTTAATTTTTAAACAGTAAGGGGATAAAAAATTAAATTTAGGAAAGGGTGATCAAATTGTTATCTTATATAATTGGATGATCAAACTGACTAATTATTTTTGGGGGGGGGCATAGGCGAGAAGTCAATGGCAAAAGGACACTTTGACTTGAAAACAGAAAGGCTTTCCCGCGTGTTAGGTGGATGAGTCATGAGATACAGATACAGCGGGACGAAGGGGGCTGTGGGGGCTGGAGATGATAGTGTCACACTATTTGACCCTGTGGAGTTTTGGTTGTCGAATTCCTACTTAATTCACCTCATTTCTTTAATCATTATCAAATACATTAGAAACCCTTCTACATTATGATATCAGTACCACATTTGTTTCATAAATATAATAAAAAGAACTCGTACCAGCGGAATAAAGTCAATCAAATGTTTGGATATTCCTCACCCTTCATTAGCGTATCACAATCTTGGTCAGTGAAAGTGGGACATACAAAGTATACAGATATCAACTCAACAGGATTTCCTCTTTGATACTATCCCTTTTTTTATTTTTATTTTTTTTTAAGCATTACTTGGTATCAAGGATAAAAAAAATCAATAATAAAAATACTCATTCATTTAATGATTAAAGTTCATAACCACTTCCCTATTTTATAGTTTAACACAAACGTTACGGGGTGGATGGGTGAGGCACCAATAATCTTGTATGGCATCATTGCCAATTAATAATCCAGATGTCTCAGTATAAGATAGGGGACCAGCCTGGGCAAATAATCATATACATCTGAAAACCCAATTTACACCATATAAATATGACCTCTTGGTTTACTAATAATAATAATATAATAATAATGGCAAAATGATTAATAACAAATTTGGCTCCTAGTTTATCTGAAGTTCAATATGTGCTATGCAATATTAATTACCATAAACTTATATACAAATCTTTAAAAAAAAAAAAGTCCCACCTCAAATGGTAGATGCATTCACCCATAGTACCACCATCTTGATCGCATTCAAAATAGCAACAGTCCTGAGTAGGGAAGTTGAAACCTGTTAATGATCATGAGAAACCATTTTGTGCAAGATTTAAGATTAAATTATAGTTAGCAAAACTCACATCCCAATTGAGCTTTCATGGCTCTCCTCTGCGTATAATGTAGTCTCCCTGAGTATAAGTCACCCTAAAATGTATGTGTTTGCACTCTTGAAAGAACTCGTGGCAGTACCATAAGCGATCCATTACAGAAGAACCAAGGCATAGTAGTGTATTATTAGCCTAACCAGTAGATGACCTTAAAATGCAGTAACTGGGACTCCTATTTTTCTTTTTCCCAGTATGATAGCGAGAAAGTGAAATCCATACTTCAGGATTGGATTTATTTTACATTTATTGCAGCAGCCATGTTTCTCAGCTTCTGAGATATTTCTGAAAATGAAGGTCTCTCTGCAGGATCAGAGGCCCAACACTTTTCCATCAAAGCCTTCCATTCAGGATCACACCATGATGGTGTTTTTGGACGTAATGTGTTGTTTACAATTCCCCCTGCATATTAAATGAAGAAAATTTTGGAAGAGATCATGGTAAAAAATCCATTATCAGCCGAGTTCACATCTAAACATATAATTTGAATGTAAAGTCCAAAAGCATGCATACTAGTAGAATAGCAATGCTTAAATCAGAAAGGATCCCTCAAACACATATCAAAGATAGTTAGAAGTCCATACTCTTCCATCTGACTATTGATTTCTATTTCATTTCAAATAACGAACAACTTAGCACTTATTTTCAGAAATAATCCATGCATAGGTCAATACTAATTTCTTTCATAAAGAAATTGCATCAAACTTAGACCTACAAAATAAAACAAAAATTAGAACAGAAGTCACTTTCGTTTTTCTATTTTAGAAGGTAATTGTTTATCACTCATTAGGATAGTTCTCAAATGAACAGTAAATAACAATGCTAGAATTGTTAACCTTAAAAGCTTTTTCCCAAAAAAGACATGATAATTTTGATGAGGCCACTGCTTTTACACAAATCAACGATGGAGGATCATCTTTGAGACATTATTAGGATTTTATTATTGTTTAGAGTTATTTATGGGATTTCCCCCATTTGTTAGAAGGATGGTTAAGATTGCATTCTAAATGCTGATTCTCATAATGTTGTGAAAACTTTCCCATATTTGGATATTGAAAGTAGGTTTTTCCCCTATAGTTTTCCTCTTCCTTCCCCTTTCTTTTCTATTTCCTTTCTCTTTTCTCAATCTACCCTGTTTCTCCTCCCGTACTAAAAGTTTCAAGGTTCAATAGAAGCAGATGGATTTCCTAACAAGAATATCCTCTTTCCATACACAACCCCCCTTGTCCCCAAACACCCTCCCCCTTTTCTTTCTCCACATGCCATGCAAAGTGTGCAACTATGGATGTTCTCCATGCATAGAACTCAAGAATTGAATCTCATGCTGTCATGCATAACACTGAAGTACCAAATTTTCAGATAATCTGAAAGAACAAACAACCCCGAATAAAAATGGTTCTAGTTGCATATACATGCATATCTATCACGACTCTTTTACAACTTATAAGTCAAGAGACAATTACAACATTCAATTTTGTCAGAGATGACAACTTTAAACCAAAGCATATATGGTGCCATTGGCCTACCCTCACTGGAACCGGTGTTTTGATAAGAGATTGACTTCCAAATGTGTTAAAGAAATTGCACAAATTCATTTTCCATCAAACATGGATTAAAAATTCTCCAAAAATTTTTTTCTTATTTTTCCTCCATTTTTCTGGCTATCAAATGAAAGCAGATAAACAAAGTTAAACTGTAAATAAAAAAGAAAATCCATAGAAAACCTAATTAATATTTATATAAGAAATAATAATTGCTACAGTGTTTGGCCAAAGTTATGAGTGTCATGCATAGACCCAAATCTGACATAGGAATGTCAGATTTTTGGAAAGTTTTTCCTCATAACCAAATGCATATGTTGATGGACATGTCTTATATGGGTACCAAACATTTTGTCTGTAAATTGAAGAGTTGAAGTAACAAAGATTCTTAGCAGGATATGGCAAAAACGTCTAGCAAATCACTGTAAACATACAATATACTACAATTTATGACACTTACCGATTATAGAAGCACAATGCATATCTGCATAAGGTTCTTCGCCAGTTAGTAACTCCCACATAACGATCCCAAAAGAGTAGACATCAATCTAAAGCACAGAAATTGATGAAATGAATAAAATTAGTGTCTGACCAAATAGAAAATATAATGTCTCAAGAAGCAAACGAAACAAAGAACTGATGTCCAAAACAGCTGAATCTGTTCCAGATTTTCTATAGTCCGTATATACTATTACCTCTTCGGATACCATATTACTTTTACTGCTCAAAAGCTCAGGTGCCATCCACGGTAGAGTTCCACGAACACCTCCTGAAACTAACGTATGCTGTCTGACTTTCGACAAGCCCAAATCACCAATCTAAAAGGGTATGCATGCATTGCATGAGTTCCAACTCCGTTGACCATCAAAAGAAAACTAATAGTAGCGTGCTCGAAAGAATATTTATAGAAAGAATGAATTGAAGACCATGGTAAAAGGAGCATATGCTCAAGAAAGAATCTCAAGCTGAAACCCTTACCAAGCTTCTACTATTAAAGAACTCACAGCAAGCTGACAACAACATCCAGAATTTTCAAGAAATTTTGGAAGAACCCAAAAATTTTACTGTACAATACCCAGTCCACTCCAACACCCAAAACCACACCCAGACCCAACTTAAAGTTTGAGTTCCAAAAACAATTTATAAGACAGCATACCTTGCACACTGGACGCTGTGGATCTCTCATATTTACCAACAGATTTTCACATTTCAAATCAAAATGTACAATGTTCTTTCCATGCAAATACTCCATTCCAAATGCAGCGTCCATGGCTATGATAAGTCTCTTACGACGATCAATAGTTCTGCTCAATAACATTAATATGTCACACATTAGGAAAATATTACATTCTGGCTTGTTTAGTCTACTATGAAACAAAAAAGGTGCATGCTAAGGCAAACAACAAGATTTCTAAAACAAACACCAGTGAAGATGCTCAAAAGGCAATCTGACCAGAGAGCTATTAATATGGTTACCTGTCCTTCTTCTGTAAAAACTGCTTCAAGGATCCATTAACCATGAATTCAGTAACAGTAGCTAAAGTTCCGTCAGGACCATCACGAACTATACCATAGAAAGAAACAACATTCGGGTGATGTAATGAACTCAATATCAAAGCTTCTTTCCAGAAATCCGCAATCTATGGCAGCAAAAAAATAGAGATTGCTATCAATCAGTATATGAAAAACATAAAAGTATCATATATCATTAGAGCTCTTGAAAACAAAATCCTTGGGAGGGACTTAATAAAAACCAACAATTGAACCGTATCCCACAAAATATCTTTTGGCTTTAACTGCCACCATGCATGTGTATCAACTTGAAGGGATAAAACATAAAGACCAGATCTGAATGAAAAATACAAAGATATAAAAAGCAAATAGCAAAAAGCTGGTCTTCCAGACGCATATGGTGGGAAAATCATAAATAAGGGCAACAAGGAACTCTGATGTAGTGATAATAAAACCTCTCAATCAGGATCCTGCCAAAGAGGAAAGAAAGAAGAGTAGCCAACTGGCAGGATGTGGTCTAGAGAGTTCATTACTGCTACGTTATTATTTGACACCCTTTTATGAAGTCATATATAGAAACATAAATATCCAAGGTTCAATTCACCAGCTGAATTGCTTCCATTGAATCAAAATATTTATAAGAATTTTCCCTTGCCTTTCCCTTTTTGCTAATGATCAAAGCTTTATAAGCCATCAAATGCCTTGAGTGCAGGTATAGAAAAAGCAATCATAAGCTACATAATTTTTTTAATGTCATAAAGTACCTAGTAGTTCATTCTTCAAGTTATATAAGCACTTATATTTTAGGCATCGGGCAGTAAGTGAAAAAAAAAATGAAAAAGAGCTATAAAAAACATTAACTCTGCTTCTTCCCCCTTTTAACTTCTAACCAACTCATACGCTTTGTTTACTGTTGTATATCCCTTTCAAACTTTGCTACAGGCGAAAAAAATACCATCAGAACAAATACCATAGCATCTGTTACATATAAGACATATCAGGTGAAGCATTTTTCCACCCTTTTGACTATCAAGCAGCCTTGTATTACAAGGTTAAGCAACCAAAGATTCATGAAAAGGAAAAGTGCTAATAGTTATTACCAAACGTTCTCTTTCAGAAGGCCTCCCTGCAAAGCAGCTAGCTTTAATTCTCTTGATTGCTACATCAGAACCTTTCCATTTGCCATGATAAACTGCCCCATATGTTCCAGAGCCCAATTCTCGGATCTCCTCTAGATCATCATTTTTTATCGTCTGAAGGTAAAATGCAAATACCATCAGAAACAAAATGGTAAAAAGACGTGTGAACAAAGTAAAAAAATTCGATGATCTTAAGAAGTAATAGTGAGAAAGGGATGACAGCATAAGCAGAATGAAAGAGGATGGATCTTAAGAAGTAAAAAATTTCAATAATCTTTCTCATTGAATTAATATCAGGAAAAGGGAAAAGAAAAAAATGACCTGTAACCCTCTTGCAATAGCCTCTTCTTCAGCCTTTGTTGGCTCAATTTTGGAAAGGGTTATGTTGTCATTATCAGAATCCAGTTCCAACTTGCCACAGGCATTCTAGAGCGCAAACATACATTAGAAAGAGAAAAATATTACATTGCAAGATGTTCTTTAACAAAGAAAATTTTATTCAATCTCACCATTGATTCATATTCACTTGCAGCCGCTTCTTTTTCAACTGCATCACCTTCAACGGAGGCACCATCTTCAACTTTGGCTTTCATTTCTTCAACATCTTCCAAAGCTGCTTTCTTAACCGAAGCAACAAACTCTGGTATGAAACTCAAACAGTTTACAGATAGCTTTGAATTTTCAGCAGCACTAGGATCTTTTTCACCAGGTTTTGCTTGCTCACCACCCTTTTCAGCAAATTTTAAGCAATTTGAAATGCTGGACTCAACGGATGCTATTTTAGATTCATTTTCAGTAATTTTGTTTTGCTCTGGACAGCACATACTTGGAACATCAGACTTTTCCATCTTCACTACATGATTTGCTTCTTTATCTTCTATGGGAACAATTTTGTCCTCAATCCTCAATGTTCCAGTCACGTTAGAATCATCTCGCGATTTTGGATTGTCACTGGAAACAGATATATCATGGATTAAAGTTGAAGGTTGATTGGGCAACTGAACAGGTTCAGTGGAAGTGGCAAAATTTAGCATGTCTTGAGGGGATTGAACTGGTTCCATATTGACAAAGTGTTGAGTTTCCTGACCATGAGAACCAATGTTCACCTTGAGAGGATGGGCATAAGCATTGTCTGGAACAGCAGTCCCATCAAAACCCAGCATCTTTTGCGAAGACTCAACCCAAGGATTTTGATTATCTATTGCAACACAAAGCCTTGCACTACCTTCCGCTGGACCCTTCAAAAATGCTGAGCTAACTGCACTATTTACTTGCTGGGGTAAGCCAGACGCTTCATATGCAGGAGCACCATGAGTTGGGTTCTGAATGTTTCTCCATAAAGACTGCGCATGTACATGTACATGTCCATGTGATGCCTGGTAAACATTATCTCCTCCATATGGGTAAGGATAATTCCCATAGCGGACACCTCGTTCTTCAGGAGGAATGTGCATGAAAGGTGAAGCAACCACAGCTTGATCATGAAACACTTCATTCCCCAATTCAGATCCAGGTCGGTGATGAGCATAATTTGAGGGAAGATGATGGCCATCCGCTAAGCTAGCATGCCCAAGAGGTAAATTCACGCCAGCACCATCTAGAACATACTGGTCATTCAATCTTCCAGCTCCATGTGCATGATTTCTTGCTTCCTCAACACGAGGGTTCAATTGGTGCTGCAAAATCCATCCTCTTTCATGACCGTGTGTTTCACCATAAGCAGAATGGGGATCAGTTTGATCTTTGGAATAAAACCCAAGATGCAATTTTCCATCTGCATTCAGCATGAAAGCTTCCCGGGTTGGCGGGCATTCAGCACATGGATTATTAAGCTTAAGAACACCATTTCCCACGTTGGGATGCTCCAAATGTGGTGGTTGATTTCTGCTTAAAGCAGCCCTGCAATGCTCGCAAATGTGGTTCCCTTCATAAACACCGTGACTATGAAGTATGTTACCAGGGAAACCACAAGCCTTATCACCAGAAATAGCTCCAGTTGGCATCCATACTACATTATCTGAAAACTGTGGCTGGTGTTCATATTGGGGATGATTTAGTTGCTGCCGCACATAGTCTTCAGGCATTCTATCCAAGCATTTGTCTGGTAATTCAGGAAATGGGACTCGGTAACGAGCAGAAGATGGTGAAAGTGGAAACTCTGATAGTGTCCTGGGATCATGATGTCCATGGTGCCTAGGAGAATAGTAAGCAGGACTCCATGGACCTTCCATTTCATTGTATCTCTGAGGAACTGGTTGTTGGAGTTGCCCAGACCCCATATGAGGGATAGTAAGATCATGCAAATTATATGGTGGCATCGACATCTCACCACTCCTTTGGCTATGAAGACCACCATCAATACTCATATTGTTAAAGAATTGTTCTGCTAAATGAATATCATCGGAAACTGGAGCCATCACAGGAGAGTCACATTTCCTAAATTCAGAACCCTCATTTAAACTGTTTAAAGCATCCACATACCTCCTCTCAGTCTCCCTCTCATCCCCATCAACATAATGTGATGAACCATCATGGTCAGGTTGCGAAAATAAAAAAATCCTAAGCCTAGTGAACCCATCGCCTGAACCTAACTTCTCATACTCTTCCATCATGTTAGTCACATCATCATCATTCACAACTGATACTAAAGCATCAAGATCCTCATCTGGCTGCTGATATTTCATCACTGCAGCTCCATCATATAGCTCCCTCATCTTACTCATCAACTCCTCATAACTAATATCTCTCGGCACGTTCACAATTCGCGTTTCTCCACCAACATACCTCAATTTACCATCTTGGGGTCGAGGCAAAATGCTACCCAAGAAGCTACACAAGAATTTTACACGCGGGGTTTCATCATTAGAACCAGGGGTGGAGGAAGGCAGGGCAGATGCCGGGGTTGATGAAGGTGAATCCATCAAATACACAGCTTGACTATTATTCTGCTGTTGATGATTAACTATTCCTTTATTACACATGGGAAGGTTTTCAGCTCACATCATGTAACTCAACAGTGCCGAAAACTCTACCCAAAATGAAAACCAATATACAAGTTCTCAAATTTTGACACCAGGAACAGATTGATTCTCCATCTGGTAACTCAAAAAGAGTACCAGAAATCATCAAATCTCTCAAATTTTCAAACACCAAAAAGCCAAAGAAAGTAAAAAGAACCTAAATTGAATCCAGCTAAGCAAACAAAAAAGCTACAACTCAACTAAATTCATTAACGACAACTGAAATAAAAACCAGCAAAGCTTCCAAATATAGCAGTTCCTTAGATTCAATAAAAGAAACCCAAATCGGGGTTAGTCAGAAATAAATAAATCCAAAGCTTAAAAAAGGAAAAAAAAAGTACCTGAAAAATGGGGATTGTCAAAAGAAAGGAAAAGACTGAATCTTTTTTCTGTTTTCTCTCTCTGCTTGATTGGGTGAGGCCATATTTTGATCAAAGGAAGAATGATGATAATATGAATATGGGGTTGATCTAAAGAGAAAGAGAAAAAAAGGAAAGAAAAAGTGGGAAAAAAAGAAATGGTGGAAGTGAACGTGAAGGAGGAGGAAGAGGAGCGCCATAGGCAATGGGGAAAAAAATGGGGGAATTTTTTAGGAATGATGCCAAGGCTGTACGCCAGGAAGCGTCCCACGTGGCACAACCATCTCTCACAGTCTCACTCACCCTTTCTTTCTCCCTCCTTCCTTCCCCCTATTTATTATCTTCTCCCACAACCCTTGCGCGTGGCGTCTTCTCTCTTCTCTTGCCACCCATTTTTTTCTTTCTTTTTTTTTTTTCGTAATAAAAAAATATACTACTATTAATTTTTTAGGTCATTGTCTAGTCTACTGATGGAACGTCAATTTTTTTTAGATTTTTCATTTTTTTCGTTTTTATGTAAATAGTTAAAATCTTGAAAGTTAATACACTTTTTTTTTCTTTTTGTGTTTGATTTAAAATCATCCGTATCTCGGATGTTGAGATATTATGATATATAAACCTTTCAAAGTTAATTTGAATTCCAAAAATTATTTAATTCATTTAAATTTAAATTTGTCCAACTTAAAATCTCAATAACTCGATTTCAAATTAAAATAATAAAATTTGAAAATAATTTTAATTGAAAATCTAAATTTGAAATAATCAAAAATTCAAATGATTTAAAGAATAATCTAAAACAACTTAATTTATATTAACTTAATTTTATTTTTAAAAATTTTAATCTAATAAATATAACATAAATTAAGAGTCTACTAATATTTAATAACTTTAATCATTTTAAGTTATTTTTTTAAATATCTTTATATATATTTATAAACTTTTGGAGGTTATCTTTCTAGATAATGAGATTCCTCATAGTTATTTATAAGTTATAATATTTATAATCTATAATAATAAAATATAAAAGTAGGGATACGAAAATCTTTTGTATTGTTAAAAATAAATATTTTAATTTATTATATTTTAAATATTTTTTAAGCATTATTATTATTTAAATAAAAGTTAAAAATTTAAGTTGTATGTTTTATAAAAATTGTGTGAAATTTTTATAGATAAAACTTTTTTTTTTTAAATATATGGATAAAAACAAAGTAATTAATAAATAATGAATTGAAATTTGTTTAATAGAAACAAAAATAATAGACCACTTTGTTTAAAGTTATATATTAATGGATAAAAATATTACTCTTTATCTCATTTTTTTTATTTTTTTGGGATGTTTTAAAATTATGTCATATTTTTTTCTTTGAATATCTAAAACTCTTACTTTTTATATTTTAAAATTATTTTTATAATTTTTTTTACTGTTAATATTAAAAATTATGAAACTTTAATTTTACAAAAATAATTTAAATTTTAATATTAAATATATTAAAATCAAAACTTCTTTTAACTTCATAAAAATCAATACATGACAAATAATATGTGAAAGAGGAAGTACTAGATAATAATTATGTTAAAATTTTCAGACAAAAATTTAATTTAAATATATAGGTAAAAACAAAGTAATGTTTAAATAATGAATCAACAATTGTTTAGTAAAAAAATATATAAAATGTGGCTTGAAGTTCCATATTAATGAATTAAAACAAAGTAAAGGATAAATAATGCACTGTGAAATTGTAAATATATTAATATTCAATTTTTTTGCTTTTGAAATCTTCAATATCTAATATTTAATTGTTTAGTTAAAAAAACCTATACACTTGGCTTAAAAATATAAAGACCAAAAGTTTTAATAAAAATTTATTAGTATTAGAGTTATAAATGATATGTTAATACTTATAAGTTATTCGAATTGATTCGAATAAAATTTGAATTTAACTCGGTTATTATCGAATCGAGTTCGAGCTCAAATAATTTGACTTATCAATCAAGTCGATCTTGAGTATTTTTATACCCGATTCGAGTTATTCGTGAGTCTAATCAAATTTTTATATTTTAATATATTTTAATTGATAAAATATCTTTAATTCAAGTTCGAGCTTGAGCACAAATAATTGAGCTTTCACTGAATATAAAAATCAAACTTTTTTTTTATATGTTAATTAAGTTTAATCGAGCAAGTTTGAATAACTCGATTTCTATCTCGAGTCAAACTCGAACTTAAAAAATAAAAACTTGATCAAGTTCAAACTGAGTTTTGAGTCTCGAATTTAGAGTTGAGCTCGAGATTGAAATTAGTACTGTATCAGCTCAAACTCAATCGATTACACTTTTAATTAATACCAAGATAAAGAAAGATAAAAAAATAATTGGTATAGTGGCAAAAAAGAAATATTTTAAATCTTGATGTCTTAAGTTTAAATTTTATTATGTGTAAGTTTAGTTATTTAATTATGTTTTAATTTATTAATTAATTATATAATGATATATTATATATGAATATAATAGTCAATTATTATTGTAACCTTTTAATATATATATATTAAATTCAACGAAAAAATCTTTATTTCTTTTATGTTCCAAATCTACTTTTAAACTTCCTACTTTATTATATATCTGATTAAAAAATATATTACGCATTTAAACTCTATTGATCTCGTAATTTTTAAGTATCAAATTCAATAATATATCAATTAATCTAAAGGGTAGTTAGTAAAAAAAAAATTTTATTAATTGAATTTATATAAAACAATGTTATTATATTTTTTTTTGACATTTGAGATCACTAAAATTTAATATTTTATTAATAGATCACATAAATAATGATTAATGTTAATTTTATTTGATAATCAAACATTTAAAATTTTCAAATAACAAATCAAATTCATTTTTATAATTAATTGAATTTATTGAAACAGTATTAGACTTTTTTATTTGAAAAAAATCGAATTTAATTTTTTAATTTAAATAGAGATACGTAAATTTTTTTTATTGTAAAAAAATTTAATATCTTTATTAAAAAAATGACGGAGTAAAATTCACGTTTTACATGATTTTGAACGTGGTTAAAAGGGAAAGTCAGAGATACATAAACTTTGAATAAGATATTTAGATGCTAAAAACACTAAGTCACTTACAGAGACACAATATTTGTTTTTGGAGTTTACATGATTTACTTATTATGCCATTAAATTTATCACATCGCTTAAATATTAGTAGTTATTTTTCCAATTAAATAGCATTACTTTTTACAAAATGGAAAAAAGAATAATAGAAAGATAATGAATATGAACAAGATTATACATAAAAATAATGCAAAAAATTTAGTTGATTCAGAAAAACACAACGAAAATGATGTCCACTTGACTCACTGGTTAGGGACAAGATCATGTATTTGAAAATTATCCACTATTAAAAGCCTAAATCCTTAAACATAGATGCAAGAGATTTTTCAAAAAGTTACCTTCTTTCTGTCATCTCTCTCTTTTCTTTTTTTATTGTCTATGTGTTCATGACATAGACTTATACATATGAAACTTTTCTCATACCTAGTTTGAATAAACATATTCATTCTATTCATCCCACATAATGGCTAAATGTTATTTTTTTCATCATTATTTTGCAATGGATGAATGCCATGCTAAGCATAAAGAAAAGATGAGACTTCAACGACAAGTTTTTCCATCATTCCTTTTCTCTTATGGTCAAATGTCATTTCTTTCATCATCATTTTGCAATGGCCAAATGCCAATCTTAGCATTGAGAAATAAGAGGCACAGCTTAAACCTTTTAATCATGTTCTGCCTATGATTGAATGCAATATTAAAAAAAAAAAGAAAGTTTGGTTGTCTTTTTGTTTGATTCAAAAATCAATCTCTTAACTATCATGGATAGTTTTTTTTTTATACTTTGTATCAAAATACCAATAACCACCATGTGGTAGTTATCTTACATGTAGGATTTTGCCCATCCATTATGGGCGACTATTGCTTACAATAATTAATAAGAAAATAATTCTATCATACATAATAAGGTATTTTAATCTTTTAGTTTGAATTTTCAAGTCAAGTTAGGCCTCAAGCAAGATTACTTTTTTAATCATTATAACATTACTTTTTAGTCTAACTCAAATCATACTTTAAATAAAATTTTCCAAGTCCATGCTAGGCTCAACTCCAGATATTATATATTTTTTATATAAAGAAGGTTGTAGTTCGGGAGAGAGAAAATGATTATAGGCATTGAGATTTAAATTTCAAACATACTAAATATTATTTTTTAAGGATGGCTACATAAATCAATTTAACTAAACTTCAAGTCTGAAATATTATATTATTAATAAAAATTTATCTTTATAAGATTTTAATTTTAAAAAATATTAAAAATCTTAATACATTAACATAAATATATTTTTTTAATAAAAGTGCCTAATCGAGTGAGTTTGATGGAAGCTTGACATTAAAGAGACAACAAATACTATCCATTAGTTTATTAGATAGGTAAAAAAAAAAAAGTAAACATATATTAATATATAGATCTAAATGCTTATTTTCTCCATGAATTATATCATTTCTATTAAGTTGGTACTTAAAAATAAAAAATTCGCAATCAAATACCTAAAGTTTGCTTTTATCAAGTATTTGCCATTTTTTATTAACAATAGTTACATGAATGATATGGCATAAATACTCAAAAAAATCATAACATATGGCAAAAATGTCATGTTGCTTTTTTTTATTTTTAAAATTTTTTGAAAAACTTTTTTAGTCAAATTATATTTTTAAACTTAAAAAATAAAAAATAAAATGAATGAGAGAGAAAATAATAGAGATGGAAAAAGGGATGGGTCGGTTTTGACATCAAATGGTCAACCTAAGGTAGATTAACACTAATTTGAGCCAATTGGCTTGATCTAGTTTGCCCTAGACATATCAGTTAATCTACCTTAGTGGATTGATTGGGATTGATAGACCATCGCCTAACCTATTACCTTCCTTCTTCTATTCTCTCTCCAACAACCCTTTTCCTATCTTTTTTTTTTAATTTTACAATTTTCTTTTGAATTTTAAAAAAATTTTCATTTTTTATTTTTTTAATTTTTGTATTGTGAATTTATTTTAAAAATGTTCTATATTTGGCTTTTTTTTTGTAATTTTTTAGTTTTTAATTTTGGTTTTTTAAAATTTATTAAAAAATTCATATATTTTAAAAATTTTTTGTTTTTAGAATTTTGTATAAAAGCATTTCATATATTTAATTGGTTTACCTTTTTTGGAAAATTTTAAAAATTCCATATTTTATTTTCTAATTTTAAAATTTTTTTAAAAAAATCATTTTTAAGAAATTTTTTTATTTTTTCT